TTTAACGACAGGAGACATAAAGGCTTGCTATACAACTTAACGACCCTTATGAAATGACGTTCTGACCGCATATGTTGTGAACATGCATTTATTCAGATGCCGAAAGTATGTAGTATTTCACATTGAAACTTCTCGTAAACTTACTTAAAATGTCTGGAACTCATTATTGAACATGTGGATGGTCAAACCATTATGTGTAGCCGTGAGTGGTCTTAGCCATTAATTAAAACAAATATAGGACGCCTTTGCTAAAAATAACATCGAAGGACTTTCAGTTATAGGTAATGGAACTGAACAAGGCCGTCAATCAGGAAACCCCATTTCGGTTTGAAGAAATATTGACCAGGTGAAAGCATCTACATTTGGAATGATATATTTCGCTATTTAAACAACACATAGGCCCTAAGAGTCCTATTTTGCCTCACTTTGCCTGGCCATAAATTCACCTTTCTTTAGTCGTTAAAGTATTGTTTTTTTAATTCCAGTGAGTAAATCGAATCCCTTTTAACCAATCAGTTTGACCATGGTTAAATTTTGTTCCTCTGGGTTCGCTTGTAAGTACAACTTAGGAATTAGTGTGTTTACGGACGTTCGTTAACCACTTGTGGCCAGCACGTGACAATGGAAGCTCCGCTTGCGTGCTCCACGTGCCGCCGTTAAAACCTTAAAAATCCTATTTTGCCTTGTTTGCCTGACGCTAGATAAACCTTTCTACATGAGTCGTCAAATAATTGTGTTTTAAATCGAGTCACTTTTAACTGACCAGATTGACCATGGGTTAGTGTTTGTTTGCTCTGGATGCACTCTTAAGTACAACAGAGTCATTAGTGTTTACACAGAAGTTCGTTACGCACTTACGGTCAGCACATGGCAAAAGAGACTCCGCTTGCGCGCTCCACGTGCCGCTATTAAAACAGCGCAGAACGCTTAGCAGTTGTATTTTACCTCGCTTTGCCTGCTATAAAACCTGAAATTATATCAAATAAATTTAACTGACGAGTTTGACCATGGTTTAATAGTTTTCGTTTAATCTGGTTTTCGTTCGTGAGTACAACAACGTTACGCACTTACGACCAACACATGACATTGATGGCTCCGCTTGCACGCTGCAGGTGCCGAGGTTCCGCCTCCAAAAGCAGACGAAACGAATACATTTACAAGAAAAATGCGGTCTCAAAAATGATGTTTGACTCTAGTTCAGAAGGGTTATATTTCAACAGGAGGGGGTAGAGGCAAGGAGTCGTTTGGCTATTTTTTGAAGTGGTTCTCTCTTGTCCTACTTAAAGTGCGAAAAAGAGCTGTATTGTCATAATTCTCAGCATATTTAAGTGGGTAACTATTTTTGTCAAAAGTTGGGTGTAAAGAAACACGGAAAATTTACTAACGCCCTCCCTACCCCACCCCCGTACGTTTTATGAGCTTATCAATTCGACTGGAGCTGGTAAGACACTGTTTGAAGGCGCCGATTATTTTCTAAAATGTAAATTTTGTCGCCATTTCTGATTCCCTGCAGTTTTCAATTTTTTTTTAGAATGCAATTAATCTCTTGGGAAGTCGTTTTCTTGACTATTAAACTTCAAATTGCTTGCGTAATCACTTACCTAAACATCTTACTGCTGGCATTAATTTTGCGAAACACGGGAAAATTATGACATCAATACTGAGATTTGGGAACAAAAAAAAAGACTGTTAAGTTGTTGTTCTCTTAAAATCTCTTTCTTTTCTTCAGATGAATGGATCACACTGAAGTATCATTTCTCATTTCAACATTTGGCCTCAAGGCATATCAAACAAAATCACCATCTGATATCTATCAAGACACTGTCTCGAGCTGTAATTTACACTTAACTAAAATCGATTGCCATACGTCAAATGAATACTGGATGTTGCACCTGCGAGGTTTCCAAAGCGAACAGAGAGAAAATTTAGAATGAGATTTTAGTATAGCAGACGATAATACTTACCTACAGAAAAACGGCGTAATTTGATTCGGTTTTCGGTTCACAAGCTCATGAAGAGAACAATAACGGATGAAGAGACGACGACCGTAATTCGAGCCAAACTAAACTTAAAAGAAAACCAGTTTCTTTGAGAATTTTCGCCACTGCGTGTGGGAACTTTCGCTGGTAGCATTGCGAAAGTCAAGCGGGTATGAAGCCCTCAAAGAGTCTTCCGCTCAAACAAAGAAGCGAGGAAACATCCCGAGAGACGCAGATTTCAACGTTCAACAAGCATATTTACAGATACAGCTACAATTTAGGAATGCCTAATTTAGGAACTCGCCGAAAAGGAAATGCCGCGATCTTTCCTGCAAACGAAGACGTGATAATACAGAAAAACAATTTAGAAATGTTACCTCCGAGTAGCTGCGAATATCACAGAAAGACGATTACAACTCCGACTTTCATAGACGTCGCTCCTGCGTCAAAAATTGATACCATCTACGAACGGAAAAAACCTTTCAAAATTCAAGAAGTATGCCATGCAAATAAAATGCAGATTGCTCATAAACGCTCGCAAAGCACAGACAGTATATGTACGGGCGCTGCGTGTCAGGAGAAATATGATAACACGCAAGAATCTTTGGAGTCGAATGAAGCGAAAAAAATGGTTGATCCAATGCAAGAAGAGAGAGTTATTGATGACTCTGGAAAAGATTTGGAAACTCCTGTCGAATTTTCTCCATCGATTGACAAATTTTGTCGTGCTGCTCGCGTTCTTGGGGTCTGTCTACCAGCCAAGGAGTTGTATTCATGTTTGCAATTGCAAAAAGGAGGTTGCGATGATTATGAATTCTCTCTTAAACATAAAACCCTTCTCCGTATTTTAAACAAAAGATTTTAGATTCTGATTCTGACATCGCATCTTTGTGAGAATCTCAACAAGTGCAAATAGCATTCCTCATCGGAAATCACTGAAGAGTGCGATATGAGAAATGTTCCAAATAAAGGAAAGTAATCTTTCAAGGCATTAATCAAACCTAACGCGATAACAATTTTTTACCTAAGAATAAAGTGGGTGATTAATATATTTTTAGTGTCAATTCTTGTAAAATCTCTTTTCCGATCGTGTTTTTTCAAGAAGTCTTATAGCCAGCGGTAGATACCCGGCTTTAAATGAAACCGCTCCTGACTAATGGCTTGAATTCGTAAATCCAACTGCGCGGGTTGAACGCAAATATCAATAAATAAAAGCAAACATTGAAAACACCTTTGAGTTTGAGACAGATTCATATTCATCATGATAAAGAAAGCGCCGAGGAGAGGATATTTGTAGAATAGAAAGTCTAGGATACTGGTGGTGTCAAGTATTAATACTTTGCTCGATGTAATAAAAGTATTGATGTATTCTCAGATTGCTTCGAAGATTCGTTTGTTTAACTACATTTTAAATCCTTAATTACGCCAAACAAAAGCGCATAACGATGCTGACATCATAACAATATGAAATTATGATTGCTCAAAATTATGAAGTCTGCATTCTTTTATTTGTACCCAGCGTACAATTTAGAACGCTTTGAAAAAAATTTGAAAATAATCTAGACAAAATTATAATTGTCCGCGTAGCAGAAGTCATGAATAATTTACAGACATGATATGCAGCATTAATTTGTTTTGATACCAGATCATCCGCAACATTCTCAAATAAACAACACACTTTAACTTACCAAACTTCAAAACACGTAACGCTTTAGAATAAATTAAAACGAGCAATCGAATTTCAGTTCATAACGGAGTCGCACTTAATTCACTTTGTGACCGGAATTTTGCTTGACGCAGTTGCTAGCCGTAGCAGCTTCCATTAATAACTCTGAGTTTCCATTGTAAGCTATTATATAAAAAGACAAGGTAAGGGACAGTACACGAGTGTTTCTATTTTATTTGTCAAAACCGGCACTTCAAACAGGAAGGTGGGATTTCCCCCCACATTTACTAATAACTTTACTAATTGGAAAAACAATTCTGAGAAAGTACTCGAGATCGAAAGCAAAATATAATTTAAAAAGGATAAGAAAATAATAGAGTTTTGTTCGCGGGCATAAATATGTTTTTGGCCCAACTCAGAGTCATTTCAGCCTATTCAGCCCATTCAGCCTAAGCCGCTATGCAAGGGTCGAAAATGAGCTCTGAGAAGAGCCCAAAACATATTTATGCCCCAAGTAAATAAACTCTTTAACCATTATTGTCAATTTGGAGGGTACTGAGAGAATAGC